AGGAGAATAATACAAGAATGGCTTAAAAATTATATGAGGCGATAGATAGGTTGAAGACCAAATGCCAATGTCAACCATAATGGTGCAGAGAATCCAGTGTCTTGGCCAACAAAATCGCCAGATCTAAACCCTCTGGACTTCTATGTTTAAGGTTACCTCTCTGAAAAGTAAAGTTTATTCTACTCCAATAGATTACAAGACCACAACAACTGCAGCGAATAGAAGACGGGTGTAATGAATTAAAAGAAAACCACCACATGATATTAGTTAGGTAATTCCATTTAATCATTAATAGAAGTTGTCAGAAATGTATCGATGTGGATGGTTCGCATTTTGGACAATTGCTGCAAATACGTAACGTTAATTTCATTTCTTATTTAATTGTTCTTGCTTGGTAAATGTATTTTTATTATTATTTTGATTTAAATTGTTCTTATTTGTAAAGATAGTGGATTAAGCCTCCAGGGGAAACTAATATACACTAGGAACATTACCTCACAGGTGATACGGAAATAATTTTGTTGATCTGCTTACAAATTGCTCTTACTTTTAAGCATAAACATAAATATTCTTGTAATATTATGGTTTGAAGTGTCTACCACAAGGGGATTGTATTGGTATAAATAACTTGAGAACGATGAATCTTAGGGAAAAAAATCAAGTTACCTTTTTTACGTATTTAGTGCATTAGAATATAAATCCGTTACAATAACTTGTAAAAAATACAGTGGCGTAGTTTTTTTTTATAAAAAGAGGGCGACCCCTGTCCAGTTGTACACCACTGGTTGAACATTTAGAGGTCATATTTTAGGGAATGCAAGGCCTACTGTCATACATTATTTGTTCCAAATTTTATTGAGATCGGTTAATAGATTCCGAAGATATAAACAAAAAATCAATTTTTTTTAACAACTTCCCTACAACACCCTGTATCTCTAAAACGAGGCCGTTCCAGACCTATGTTTATAAGGCAAACTCTATTATTTTAAAGAGATCTCTCTGCCCCCGAAGTTTCCTGCATAAAATTCGGACCACCCTGTATATCGTGCTCCGTATTCTTCATACATAGATACTTTTTTGAGTTTGATTTTAATATAAATAATGGCTGCTTCTTTAGTGATCTTTCATAGATTCAGTTGCATCAAACATACGGGATGAGATGAAATCAGTTGTAGTTCATTAATATTTTTTTACATTACTGTCTTTGTTCATTTAGCGGATGAACATAGTAACAACAAGTAACATTTTCTCTTCTTCGTCTAACTCAGGGGTTCCCAACCGCGGTGGTTCGAGAACCACAGGTGGTCCGTGGCCATCTTCCAGGTGGTCCGCGAGGCTGAATACAGTGAATTAATAGCCCTTTTCTTTTATTCATGATTTTGGAATCATAACGCGTTACGATCTGAAATCTAGCAACCTGATTGGTTTCCAATGGGCTATTATCATATAAGCTGGAGCGTCGAAAATAAATAACGTGTAATTTTACAAAGCATACCTTCACACATATAATCACAAATACAGTTATAAGACGACGAAAGTCCCAAAAGTTCAAATATGGTCCCTGAAGAGCCAAGTTTTGCTTTAATATCGTCTGCCATTCTGAAAAGTTGGGAACCACTGATCTAATCAATTAATTTCAAATATTAATTTTTTCATCATATTAATCCGGTTAAATATATGTACATTTAAAACATACGTATGTATATCACGTCAGAATGATGTGATCAGCATAATATGTTGTACCTCAACATGACATGTTAACACATGTCGACATGACACGTGTTAATAATGCGTCTAAGCTATACTTCTTTCATTATACCTTTGTGAATTTATCTATTGCTTTTATTTGTTCTTTCCTCTAACAATAAAAAAATATATAATTTTCTTGCTTTACCTAAGACCCACGTTTCGTAGTAGCAGTTGATAACCATCGCCGGCGACATGGTAACCATCATGAGAAAGTCCGAGAAGGCCAGATTCACCACCAGCAGATTGGAGGGTGTTCTCAGGGCCTTCGTGCCGCTGAATATGTACATGACCATGCCGTTGCCCATAATGGAAACAAAGCCCAAAACGCCTATCGTGAAGCCCAGGATGCCGTGCCATAGTGGGTTCATGGGAGGAAACTGGTACCAGTACGCGTCCACCATATGCAGCATGTCGGGTGGCACCTTGTCCACGACGGTCATGTTGCCGCCGAAGCCGGCCGCCCTTTGAGCCGCCCACATGGCGTAGCTAGGTCCGCTGCCCATAACAGACATGTTGGCGAGTACTGCGGAACGGAAAGGAACGGTGTTAGTTCTATGTGCATATTTTTTGAGTATAAGTGTATTTAATTTAACATTTTTTATTACAAAACAAATTCGTCAACATCAAATAACAACAACATCAAATAAACAACATCAAATAATCAACAATAATCAATAAACAATCAATCACATAAATAACATAAAATAAACATCAAATAACAATAAAGTCAGTAACCATGCTTTACAAAAACGTTATTTGAGACTTATGAAAACAAGAAATGGTATTCAGTTTTCTAACCAACGCATTGTTTAAAACAATTAAATATTTAAATTTCGAAAACTTTGAATGCAGGATGAAGGAGTTTCTCTTGTAGACTATATAGCTCATAAGGATTCTTGTTCGCAATTTATCCATGATATCGACTTAATGAACAATTTATTGCCGTTTTTTAATTTTAATTCTATTGCAACCATGCATTTTTTGTTTGCTTTATGATAAGTATTGTATAGTTTTTATATTGAATAGTTTTCTCAATGTTTTACCATTGCTTACTTTGTGCACTGTTCTATTTTATTTCGCTTGTGTGAATACTTTGTATATTTAGGCACCAATAAAGAAAACTGAAACTAAAATTTATTCTTTGAATGAAAATAGTGCAACTGTCAGGTGTTTTTTTCAATTTTTTTTTAACACTTGTAAAATTTTGATACAGATTCTTTTAATTTTCCAATTTTTCTAAAGCGACCACACTTTACAAAAATGCCTTTGGATGATGCTGATTTGGTCTATGTCTAATAGCCAAGTCAGTCTTGTAATTCGAATGTAAAATATTGATTTATCTGTCCTTAGCAAAATATGTAGTTTTAGTTTGGCTACTGTGAAAACAAATTGCATGTGTAAGGTTAGGTATAACGACAAATTTTTCATCATATTCAGTCCTATTTTATTAAAGGAGTCCAAATATTTGTTCGTGGAGGTGGTGGACATTTCACATGTAATTTTTAATATCGATTTCTTGTGTTTGTGTTGTTTTCTGAGTTTTAATATTTGAACGTGGCTAACTAACTCAATTTTAACATAATTTGTGTTCTAAAATTAGATTAATAGAACGTTTAACTAAAATCGTTGCCAATGTCAATATTTGAAATACCAAAATTTTTTCAAGAATGCCAAACCATAGACATGGTTATAGATATAGACATAGCGTAATTATTATATGTAAAACTTCCTGTCACAATCTGGAGATATTTATTGTCTTGTGAACCTACCCCTACATTTAAATTTTACAAAAATAGAAATTAAAGAAAAGAATTAAGAAAACAAGCACTTGGTCCGAAAATTCGCGTAAAAAACATATTTTTCAACGTACATAAGAAAAAGTTGAGAGGCCAACGGCGTTATAATTCAAAAACAAAAGTTTGTGCAAATTATCTTAATATAATAAAAAGAAACAATTATTAATATATTTTTTGTTGCATAAACGAGGTAGGTACATTTATTAATTTTTGGAGAATATGGTGAATGCGCCAATGTTGCAAACAAGGAATCGACAAAATTTGCAAAATATAGTTGTAAAAAGTATTTCACAAAATCTACATAAAGTAGCTGGTTAGTGATTGTTCTTTAATGTAATGTAATGGTTTTCGTAACGCCTTTTAATACCGATTGCCTATTAAGTAGGCATTTCAATAATATTTAAAGTGATTTATTTTTGTTTGTTACTTACAGCAGAAACACTAAATACCTACTTGATTCAAAACTTTTCCAAATGAGCTTTACGTGTGTGTACCTAATAGGCGTTTTACATAAATTAATTGTGGAAAATAAAGTAATGGTATTTTAATGTCTATTAGAGAGAAGTATTTTTTAAACATAACTTATAATTTCCTGTTAATTTTAAATTTTCTTCACTTCTGTTAGATACAAATTCCATCAGATCTTATTTGCAGAAAACCTAAAATGTAATATTGAAATAGCATACCTACTTAAGTATAAGGACATTAACAATAAATGTCTAGGTATGTACAGCTATGAACTAAAATAAGTTTATACAATCTAAAGTGCTTATAATTCTTTTCTAAAACAGCGTTTTATCAAGACGTTTTATATCGAAATTTTTTTTCGACCATGGCAATATCTGTTTCGTCAATGATATTGTAGATGTTGGCTGTGGTATTGACCGGTCAAAGTCGTTCAGTGGACAAATATTTCCTTAGTCAGCCCAATCAGCTGATTGGGAATATTGGACAGGTTTTAATACAGTTACTAATATCCATATTAGTTATAGTAAGTAAGTTCAGCGAATTGTTTGACTAAAAAAATTTGACCGAACTAACTGACAACAAAAAAAGTGTTAATTTCTTGAAAACATTAGATACCCACTTTAACCAATGCGTTGTATATTACTCACCCAAATCACAGTTTTGTAAAATAGCACGGTATTTAAAATTTAGAGTAATTTCACATTAAAATGCGTCTGAAGGCGCGCTCAGGCTACGACTCGACATTGTCTAACTACTTCTCCACTTTTATAGATTACACAGAGAAATAATTCTTACGTATTTAATTTAATAAAGAAAATCTCCTTGGGTATATTTTCTTGACTGGGTAAGGATTCTCTTGATACCTAATCGAATTATGTTCTTTCATAATATATTTGTACTTTCCTTCAAGGTTCTAGGATATATTGGATTATTTGACAGATAAGGAATAGAAATTAAAAAATTATACAGGGGTATTACAATTACGTAGGACTTCTATATTCAGATTTGATATGAATGTGAGAAAATTTTGAATTTATAATTATCAAGAAGCAATGATTTGACATCACATTTTTTAACTAATGATATTGCGGTAAATAACTACTCTGAGAGCTATATGCCCCATCTAACATTTAATTGCAACCACATTATCTAGTAGGAACCTAAGGATTAATAGGTTGCTATTTACCAGGAGATACAATGTGATGCTTAGTGCCAGTAGGTAGATACGACAAATACTTTTTGTCGATAAATACAAATACTTAGGTTATATCTCATTTCTACTCAAAACTGATATCACGCATATAATTCTGCTATATAGGTACTTGAACAAACAACACTTTTGTCACTTTCTGATTTTTTGTAAAACTCTGCCACTAATCAAATGTAGGTCCATAAATTTTTATACGTTATGTTGTAGTTGTAATCTTTAAACTATGTCCTTACCAGATGCGAGAAAACATACAAGCTCTTCTATTAAACAAAAATGTAGGTATTTCGTTACACTTCCATGTTCTGTAGTTGCATTCAATTAATTTTGCGTTCTTAATGAACAATGTAAAAAAGATCCAATCAACTTTAATTCTTACACTTCCTTCTTATCCCGTATAAAAATACAAGAAATAATTTTTAACAATCACCAAATACCTATGTAAATACAAAAACTCTTAAATATGAACTAATTTTTGCTTGTGATCACTATCATTTTCAATGCTTATAGGTTTGTATCATTATGAAGTTAAACAAATATTTTAAGAAGTCGATTTCGGATTAGTTTAAAATTAATTAAATATTTTTATTATTAAATTATTAAATAATTTTTTCATACATTTTTGAAACC